AACAACAGAAATGGGCTCTTGGAGTTGGAGGCCAGAAGTCGTAAATGAAGATGTCCACAGGGCCACACCCCTCAAAGGCTCCCAGGGAGCCCCTTCATCGGGGAGCCCTTCCTCAAGTCTTGTGGGTCCCAGCAGCACCTGGCACAGCCTGGCTTAGGGAAGCGTGACCTTGACCTCTGCCCCCACCGTCACACGGCCTTCTTTCCTCCTCTCTGTGTGTTCCTTGTCTCCTTTCTTGTAAAGGTGTGCCATTTGCTTTAGGGATCACTCTGAGCCACGTCATCTCGCCTTAAAATCTTTAATTACATCTGCAAAAACGCTGCTTCCCCAAAAAGCTCGTATTCACAGCTCGCGGGGATTAGGCCGTGGACATATCTTCTTGGGGAATAGGGTTCAATCCACTACGTTTTCTTTAAGATTCTGCTAGGAGAGCCTTCTTTGCACTCTCCTGAAGAAGTGGCTTAGATACTTCTGTGTTGTGTCCGTGATGACTGAAGTCTTTAGAAAGTTAAATACCGAGGAAGGCCTTTTTCCTTTGCTACCTCCACTCTCTGTGCTCTATGCGACAGAGGCTGTAACCAGGCATTTGCTTCCTGTAATTATTCCTAAACCCCGAGGGGAGATAGCTCTGGAGCCCAGGTCTGCCTGCAATGAACCTGACCTGCAGGCGTGAATGTGTCTCTTCCTTCCCCTGGGGCAACTGGGCAGCTCCTGGGTCTGTGCCCCTTCTGCTTGGAGGCTCCACCTTCATTTTTATTTTTTAATCTTTTTTTATTTTTTGACAGGCAGAGTGGACAGTGAGAGAGAGAGACAGGGAGAAAGGTCTTCCTTTGCCGTTGGTTCACCCTCCAATGGCCACCGCAGCCGGCGCACCGCGCTGATCCGATGGCAGGAGCCAGGTGCTTCTCCTGGTCTCCCATGGGGTGCAGGGCCCAAGCACTTGGGCCATCCTCCACTGCCCTCCCTGACCACAGCAGAGAGCTGGCCTGGAAGAGGGGCAACCGGGACAGAATCCGGCGCCCCGACCGGGACTAGAACCCGGTGTGCTGGCAGCGCCGCAAGGCGGAGGATTAGCCTAGTGAGCCGCGGCGCTGGCAGGCTCCACCTTCAAGCTTCTCCTCCCCACACCTGGTGGCCAGCAATCTTGCTTTCCAGCTTCCTTCTAACTTTGCTTTCTCTGCCTCTTAATTCTTCTGTGTGATCTGACCACTTAAGTCTCTAGATCGTGATGGGACTGAACTTCTGAAGCACTGGGTGTAACAACTAGGTCATTAACGCTGTTTACTAACCTGGACTCATTACCAGCGAGCTTTCGCTTTGCCACAGCATAATGAGGTTATTAATTAAGGCAAGAGACAGAAGTACTCTGGGTTTGCTTAAATGCCACCTGGGGAGACGCCTAGGGCTTTGGTCATGATTTTTGTGAAATGCCTCCAAGGGGCTATGTTTAAATTCCTGTGAAATGGGTCCTTGCCTTTCTCTTTAAATTTGTTGTTGTAACGCCGGCGCCGTGGCTCAATAGGCTAATCCTCCACCTTGCGGCGCTGGCACACCGGGTTCTAGTCCCGGTCGGGGCGCCGGATTCTGTCCCGGTTGCCCCTCTTCCAGGCCAGCTCTCTGCTATGGCCAGGGAGTGCAGTGGAGGATGGCCCAGGTGCTTGGGCCCTGCACCCCATGGGAGACCAGGAAAAGCACTTGGATCCTGGCTCCTGCCATCGGATCAGCACGGTGCGCCGGCTGCAGCGGCGGCCATTGGAGGGTGAACCAACAGCAAAAGGAAGACCTTTCTCTCTCTGTCTCTCTCTCACTGTCCACTCTGCCTGTCAAAAAAAAAAAAAAATTTGTTGTTGTGGACTCCTAGAACTCCCAGTTGCAGAATCCACCCAATGCCTTGTTCATCTGAGCTGCAGAGGCAGCACAGGCTCTGGAACCCCACCGCCCGGGGTTCGAATCCTGGTCCTGGCTCAGCTGCCTGCTGTGTGACACCGTGCACATTATCTGGGCTCTCACTTTGCCTTAGTTCCCCCTCTGAACAAGTGGGAAGATTTTGTAAATTCACACATGTGGATTCACATGCTTGGGCTTTATATGCGAGAGTGGTTATGCTCATTCATTAAATCCAAGGGCATCTGCTGTGTGGGGCACGGTTTGGTGCCCTGCACTTTCGATGATGGTGTGGTTGATTGACTTGTCACCCCTTAAACCCATATATTGGGATCCTAAACCCTACTACCTTCGAGTGTCACCTAACTGGAGACAGGGGCATTAAAATGTAATCAGGTAAACCGTTATCAGGGACTGGCATTGTGGCACAGCCGGAGAAGCCACCGCTTACAACACCAGTGTCCAATATTAGAGCGCAGGTTTGAGTCCCGGCTGCCCTGCTTCTGATCCAGCTCCCTGCTAATGTTCCCCAGAAGGCAGCAGATAAGGGTCCAAGTCCTTGGATCTCTGCTGCCCATGTGGGAAACCTGGATCGAGTTCCAGGCTCCTGGCTTTGGCCTGGACCAATCTGGACCATTGTGGCCATTTGGGGAGTGAACCAGCACACAGAAGATCAATCAGTCTCTCTCACTCTCACTCTCACTCTCACTCTCACTCTCACTCTCACTCTCACTCTCACTCTCACTCTCACTCTCACTCTCACTCTCACTCTCTCACTCTCACTCTCACTCTCACTCTCATCTTTCCTCACTGTCACTCTGCCTTTCAAAGAAACAAATCAATAAGTCTTAAAAAAAAAAAAAAAAAAGGTGAGCAGGTTTAAGTGAGGTCATTAAACTGAGAGTGGCCTGTGTGCTGGCGCCTTTGGCGAGTATGGAGACATGAATGGAAGGCAGACAGCGGCCCAGACACGGGGAGGAGAAAGACAGTCGTCTGCAGGCCAGGGAAGAGGCCTGGGACGGCTCCTCCCTGCCCCTCCCAGCACCTTGCCTTTGGCCTTCTGCCTTCCAGAACTGCAGAGAATAAACTTGCGCAGTGATGGAAACCAGGACGGACAGCTCTGCTGTGGAATGTTCACCCTGGGGTGGGGGGCAGGGTGGTCATGAGCTGGTAGGAGGGATCTATTCTGCAGAAGTCTGGTTGCCAGCAACAGAAAGTCACTGAAGCTTGCTTAGCCAAATGGGAGCACGAAGATGAACTCAGAAAATCTGAAGGTAGGACTGCAGACTGGCAAATACGCCTCAAGAGGATTCCCCATCCCTTGCCCGGCCCCTTCCTTCCTCCTTCTCCAGCCTGGTTTTCTGTGCTTTCCCAGTGCACGGAGCAGAGAGCTTGGTGTTCAAACAGCATCCAGGTTTGTGCATTACAGATAACAACCTCCTAAACAGAAACTTCATGAGTGCCCGGCGGTCGGGTCAGATGCCTACCTCGATGGCTGTGACCACAAAGGCAGCATGTCGGTGCCCAAACGTGGTGATTCTACAAAAACCATGTGGATGGGGTAAGGGAGGATGGGTCGCTAACGTGAGGAGGGCTCTGGAAGCAGAGATCAGTCACCACGGAGCTGTGGTCCATACTACTGCACAGCGCAAAGCTGGAGAAATCCAATGTCATGGTGAACAGCATTTCCCGTCTTACAGCCATGGAGCTGCTTCTGTCTGCAAGGAGACAGAAAGTGGTAGTGGTCAAAATGTGGGTCTATCAGTGTCACGCAGTTTCAATTCACTCTTGCCTTCTATTCTTAAACATTTTTAAAGATTTATTTTATTTACTTGAAAGGCATAAAGGTAAGAATATTTTCCATTCATTCACTCCCCAGTGGCTGCAATGGCCAGAGCTGGACCAGACCAAAGCCAGGAGCCTGGAACTCCTTCTGGGTCTTCCACATGGGTATCAGAGGCCCAGGTACTGGGGCCATTCTCCTCTGCTGCTTTCCCAGGCACATTAGTAGGAGTTGGATCAGAAGTGGAGCGCGGAGACTTGAACCCATGCCAGAGTCATAAGCAGTGGCTTTACCCACTGCACCACATGCTGGCTCTGGTGTGTTTCTTTAAATTTTTTAAAAAGATTGAACGATTTACTTGAAGAGTAACAGGGAGGGAAGGAGGGGTGGTGGGAGAGAAAGAGAAATATCTTCCATTTACTACTTCACTCCCCAGAGAGAGAGAGGACTATTTCCATTCACTGATTAAGTCCCCAAATGCCTGTAACTAGGACTGGGCCAGGCCAAAGCCCATCATCCCCTGTCTCCCAGCACAGTAGCAGAAAGCCAGATCGAAAGTATGGAGTTGTAGGAACCAGGCACTCCGGTACAGAGCAGCAGCTTAGCCCACAGCGCCACAATGCCCACCCCAATTTTGCCTTTGATTAGTTGCATATTTGTGGGCATCACCATGCCTGTCTGTGCCTCACTTTACTGTCGCTCCCCCTCTTCATGGAGGAACGACACTAAACCCTGCCTAGGTTTCCTATCAGAGTCACGGCACCATTATGTCGCTCCCCCTCTTCGTGGAGGAACGACACAGGACCCTGCGCTGTTCTTTTGTCTGCTCGGCCCTTCCCAGGTTTGCTGCTGGTTCTTCCCGGGTTGGCTACCGTCCTTCCACCTCCGTGGAAGCTCAGATGTTCCCTTAGATGTTCCCCTAGATGTTCCTGGTGCATGGTGTCTCTCTCCTCCTTTATAGTCCTCTTCCACCAATCCGAACTCTGCTACCCACACGCCAAGTATGCTGCTCTTCTCCAATCAGGAGCAGGTCCTGCTGTTTATTGCTTGAACTGGAGGCAGCTGTGTAGAAGCTGTTTCCTCCTCTCCCAGCACCATATTGTGGGAGAGCAGATGCATAGAATAAGTCTTAATTCCAGTAACTTAGTCTAGTCCGAGTTGCTCCCCACACTTCACCTTTCAAAAAAGGGGTGGAAATTGCATCACCACTTTTATGATTGATATGAGGGTAAATGTGTGTTTGGCACCTGTGGATACCCAGTGGGTGTGAGCCGGGCTTAGTACCATAAGTGTCTGATTGGTACTGATCCTGTTTGGGTTTGCTTTCTCCCAGGCTGAATTCTCCGAGTTGAACCTGGCTGCCTATGTGACCGGGGGCTGTGTGGTGGACATGCAGGTCATCAGAAACGGGACCAAGGTTGTGAGGTAAGCAGGACTGGACTGCAGAAACCCTACTGGCAGGTGCCTGGGATGTGTCTCAGAGCCCGCCCCCTCCCTACTGCCGCCAGCCCAACTCCTACACCACGTGGACTTCCCTGTGCAGGGTGGCTGCTGCCTCAGAGTTCCAGGTGTTGTTGTTAGAGAAACGGCCAGTGGCATAAATCGGAGGGGGAAGCAGCTGTGTTGTCCTGGAGTGAGCCCTGGGCTTGGAGAGAAAACTTCTGGGTTCCGTTTCTGGCCTGGTGGCTGTATCCTGTTGTATTATTTAGTCTCTGTTGTCTTCTGTTTCTCAAGAGATTTGCAACACTGAAGTCAGAGGCTGCAGAAATTTCTATGAACGCATGTATGTGAGTGCATGTTATCCATTCTAAAGAGCTGGACAAATGTCAAGTTCGATTAGAAGGATCTCAACCCCACAATAAGGCAGACTCAACGCCAGAGAATCTCCTTCCAGTACATCCAACATAAAAACACTGGATAAAAAAAAAGATTTCTGAACGATCTGTGTGTGATGTATGCTGATGGGGGAGGGGATTCTGCAGAGGTGAGCAATGACAAAGTGTAAACCTGCAGTGGATAGAGGATGTGTAAAATCCATTTCTACTATGTTGAATACCCAGGAGTGATAGCATCCTAGGTCTGAGAAGGTATGGACAGGGTATAGGGTTCAGATTTTAGAAAGCAGGGGAAGCTTTGAGGAAGGGGTACCATTTGTTCTGACTCTTATTGAATGTGGGCATCCTCAGGATGGGGGAGGGAACGAGAGAGGGAGACAGCCTTTGCAAGCGAAGAAAGGCCCCCAAGTGGAGCATGTTTTGGAAATTATGACGATTCAGCTCATTCATCATTTATTGAATGCCTACTGTGTGCCAAGAAGAACATGACATGGCTTCCTCTTCCTAGAAATGGTGGGCTGGGTTATTTGGACCAACTCTCCCTACCCATGAAAAACAGCTTAAAAGCTAGCTTTAAATAATTGTAATTAAGAAAATGTGGCATGACCGTAGGAACTGCCAGGAAGAGAATGATGGGAAAGTGGAAAGTCAGAGAGTTAAATGTATCCTGAGAGTATTTGCCAAGTCAGCCAGGTTTGAAATATTTTCGGTAGTATAGTGGGGCAAAGGAGAGAGACATGAACACCCAGAGGCAGCTGGAGTGAGGAATGTGATGGTCGATCCTCCCTACAATAAGCCGAGAGCCTGGAAGACCACAGTTTCAAGAGAGCATGAGTTGCACGTGATGGTAGCTTACATTGCAGTCTGAGTAACCTAGGCCTTCTATGGCAGACATGAAGATGACGCAGGGTAGGCCCTTAATCCAGCATGGCTGGTGTCCTTATAAGAAGAGAGAGGTTGGGACACAGGGACCTGGGGACAAAGCCATGTGGTGATTGGAGGTAGAAGTTGGAGTGACACATCCATAAACCAAGGAACGCCAAGGGTTTCTGGCAGTCACGAAAAGCAAGGCCGTCCGTGTCCAGGTGGAGCATGTTCTCCCTCAGATCCTGCTTAGGAAGCCACTGCCAGCACCTTGACTGTGGACTTGGAGCCTCCGGCCCCGTGGGAGGACACATTTCTGCTGTTCAAAGCCACCGCCGTGTTTGTCCCACTTCATTCCAGAATCCCAGAAAACACAGACAGCTGTGCTTCTGTGCGTCTAGATCTCCCGGAAATCCTGTCACAATGCAGATTCTTATCACTGAGGTCTCCGGGTAGGGCCTGAGGTCCTGACTTCACCGTGGGCCCCCAGGTGAAGCCGATGCTTCTGGTCCTGTGGAGTCCATTGGAGAAGCAAGGTTATGGACGAGCTCTCTGCTGCTGCTGCTGCTGCTGGTGATGGTGATGGTGCTAGCAGGCCACGCTCTGAGTGGCTGGGGCTGTGAAGACAGTGTCGTTATGGCCAAAGACCTGGGTTCCCAGGACCCTTCAGGCTGTTGAGATTTATCCTGTCCCATGGCCAAGGTGGTACCAGCAGTCTCGGCCAGGCAGCTGGGTTTTGTACACTTGTTACAGGATTCCAGACCTTAGAGAATGTGCACACACACAAATATTCTCTATCTCTCTCTCTCAGTGAACCAATCTTCTGCTGCCCTCAGACATCAGAGCCCTGGTTTTCAGAGACCCATGAGCCTGAACATCTGAACGTGGGTTCTTGCACCCCCCCAACTCCAGGACTCCCACTAGCAGTGCCATTGGCTCTCAGCCTTCAGCTGTGGGCTGAGAATTGCACCATTGGGTCTCCTAGTTCTAAGGCCTTTGAACTTGGACTCAATTACAATGCTAGCTTTTGTGGTTCTCCAACTAGAAAATAGTGTATCGTGGGACTTAGCCTCCGTCATCCCGTGTCTCCTTTTGTATGCGTCTGTTGGCTCTGATGCTCTGAGAACTCTGGTTGATACAGGTAGCCAGGATGAGTGGAGAGCAGACCACTGCTGCTTTTGTCCAGCCTCCATTCCTTCTGCTCTGGAAAACAGCACCCAGATTTGACCACTGGATGACCCCTCCCCAACATGTAGTCCGTGTGATGTGCACAGCCAAAGGCACAAGGCCAGCCTTGGCCAATTGGAATATCACATTGGGGCTCAAGCCAGGCCAGTGAGAATCCATTGTGAGTCTTGCTGGGACTCCTGGATGAGAGGCACATTGGTGCTTGTGGGGGGGACGCATGAAGCTGTTCAGGGGGCCCTCTCTCTCCTTCAGAGCATGATCTGCCAAGAATGAAGCCAAGGCTTAGGGGAGCACAGCCAAGAGAGAGAACAATGACCTGCTGATGTTATTCAAAGCTCTGGATCCAGTCTCATCCCCAGGCTGGAGCCAAAAAAAATCCCTTTTTGTTTAAGCCAGCTTGAATTGCACACACAAAATTCATGAATTTTTATTTATTTAACAAACACCTTTATTGCATTTCCTATGTGCTAGGCACTGTTCCAAGCAATTAACATAGATTAACTCATTTCATCTTTTCGACAGCCCTGTAGGGGGTGCACTATTATAATCTCAGATCCAAAGATAAGGAGACTGAAACACCAACGGGCTGGGTAATAGAATCCAGGTCTCTAGCCAGTAAGTGGCAAAGCCAGGATTCCAGCCCAGGGAACTTGGCTCCAGAGCCTGGGTGTGCACCAGTCAGAGCTGCCTCACTGTGAGTGGTACCCAAGAGTACAACTCAAGTGTGGGAGGGAACTGAGCATCTCAGCTTCAGCTGGAAAGTGAAGAAAAGCCAACCACCCCTTCCTGCTGATGGCTCCTTTCACCCTGTGTCTGCACAAAGTGCTTTATGGGAAGCAGGATCTTGGCTAATCTATTACTACTCAGCTAATACTACCACTACTGATACAGATCCACAAGATGGTCTAACAACACAGAGGGGCAGGAGAGACTGGTGGTGAGAGCACAGCCTCTGGGGCAGATGGCCAGGGACGAGTAAGTGTCCCAGAGCTGCCACAGTGAGAGCAGCTGTGTGATCACGGAAAGTGACTCTCCAGAGTAATGTTACAGTACTACTGTAGTATTAATAACAGTCCTACTACTACTACTTGATAATCACAATAGTGCTACTGATCATCATAATGCTACTGATAGTAATAATTCTGCTACTAATGTTAACAATACTCATCATCACAATATTACTTGTAGTAATAACACTACCAATTATCACAGTACTACTGATAAAAACAATACTGCCACTGCTGATGATTACAATACTACTACTGATAATCACAGCACTGCTCCCATTGATCATTACAATACTCCTACTATTGATCACAGTACTCCCACTATAGATAATCACAATACTACTGATAGCAGTAGTAGTACTGAGCATCAGAATACTACTACTGCTGATAATAACAATACTCTCACTACTGATCACCACAATACTACTACTGATAGTAATAAAGATGATAGCATTACTGTTCATAACAATACTGCTGATCACCACAGTATTGCTCATAGTAATAGTAGTACTGATCATCATAATACTACTACTGCTAGTGACAATATTGCCACTACCAATGATCACAATACTACTAATCATCACAATACTGTTCCCATTGATCATTACAATACTCCTACAATAGTCCTGTACTGATGTAATATTCCTATACAATACTCCTACTGCTGATAATCATAATACTACTGATAATAGTAGTACTACTGATGACAATACTACTACTGATAGTAATAATGCTACTAGTGTTAATAGCAGTGGGTGGGTACTAATGAGAGTAATAACACTGCACAGTACTACTGAGAGTAATAATACTAATACTACTTTTAAAAACAATATCACTTCAGAGGGCCGTTGTGAGGATTACACAAGTCGCTATATGTGCAAATCTTTGAACAGGGCCTGCGGCCAGGGTAATTGCCAAATTAGGTGTTGATAGTTACAGAAGAAGCAGCTGAGGACACCAGCTGAGTCACATATGGGGTGATGAACTGGTTTGCCCCAAATCACACTTTGAGAGAGGGGCAGTGTTGGATTTGAAGCCAGCTCTGGATTCTGTGAGTTCCCACGTGTCTTTAAGTTCTTGTGTCTCCCCTCTGCCCAGCACACGGCATCAGGTCCTGTGGCACTCAGGCCAGGCTGAATGGACAGGAACAGCAGGCACAGATTTCTGCAGGTGCTGGGCATAGCCAGAGCTCACCCAGGGTACAGGAGAGGTGTGTTCTTCTCCCTTGGAAACCTGAGAAGCTGCTTCTCTGTGCATCCTTCCTTGATTTCTTTTTTTTTTTAATATTGATTTATTTATTTGAAAGTCAGAGTTAGTGAGAGAAGGAGAGGCAGAGAGAGAAAGAGGTCTTCTATCTACTGGTTCACTCCCCAATGGCTGGAGCTGTGCCAGTCAGAAGCCAGGAGCTTCTTCCAGGTCTCCCACATGGGTGCAGGGGCCCAAGGACTTGGGCCATCTTCTACTGCTTTCCCAGGCCATAGCAGAGAGCTGGATCAGAAGTAGAGCAGCTGGGACTCAAATTGGTGCCCAT